CACACATGTGGAATCTTAGCCCCACCACGGACCTTGTGAGTCAGTATCTGCATAGTAACACACTCCTCAGGGGGTTCGTATGTACCTTAAATCTGAGACGTGTGGATGTGAGGTGTAAAATAAAGAGGTTATGAGGTTACTAAGAGAAGCTCAATATTACGTTGAAAAGAGACACGTGAACTAGTTTAAAAGTTAATATTAGGTCATTTGAGAAAGTCACGCTGTATTATTCTATGCAAAAATGCATCACAACTTTCCCAATGACCCAATATCAATTCAATTCTATAATTTTATTCCATATTTTTTATTCCCTAGGTGAATGCTATTAGGCACCAGCTTGGTATTAAGTCTCATTCATTCTGCCAAAAGCAATTCAACTTTCATCATATCTCTTTACATTTTATTACTTACGTGAGCCATAAGAGGCAGAAGCAAAAAATTAGAAATAGGACAAAAAAGGGTCTGGGGCTTTGTGGAAGGCAGTGGGTATATAATTCATACTTGTGCCCCCTAGCAAACCCAAGAGAGACTGAGTATCAAGAACAGAATTTGGGTTTTCAGATGACATGCTGGTTACTCAGGCGTGGTAAGGCCTTACAATGAGTCTTGAAGAATTGCATTACATAATGCTTTCATATAATTTGGACTAATTGTGGTTTTCCGTTATAATTTTGACATCTCCTCTTTCAGTTGTTAATAAGTGAAAGCTATTTCTTTCAATTGATTTTTTTGAGGCTTTTTTTTACTTCTCTTTGTTCCTTTTCTTTCCTAATTCAGGAAGAGTTCCCTTGGCTTCAAGTTTTATAATCCATAGCTAAATTATAGCAACAGAGATGTCTTTTTTTTTCCCTAGTAGCAGTTTTTAGTTAAGAGGTAGAGGTGATATGTGCTCTAAAATATAAGCAATAGCTCTAAGTAAAAGCAAAGAAGTAAGATTTGGCAAGCCTAGATTATCATTGCAAAATAATTTCTCTACCAAAGACTGATCTGCAATTTTGGGGGCCTAATTTCTACTCAGGAATCAATGTTCCTGTGCGTTCTATTTGGCACCCAAACCAGATAAATGTTCCCACAGAACACAGAGCTGTTACAGAACATATGTTGGAGAGGGAGGTGTGAGAGCTGAGCACTCACCTCCAGCATTGCAAAAGGAGTCCCTGTTCTGTTCTCCCTGGCTCGACTCCCTCTCCTAACCATTGCACTCCGAGTGTGTGGGAATATTGCTGTAGGGCTTTCCACTCTAGATTATAAATTATGCAATTTCCCTTAGTCTCATATAGTTTAGGAAATAGGAGACATAGGTAATGGAAACAAGAAATAAAATTGCTCCCTTAGAATGATTATTTAAAAATGTGCTCTGGCCTAGCAGTGGTGGTACAAAAAAGCCAGGTGTGCAGGCACACATCTGTGGTTCCAGCTACTCAGAAGGCTGAGGCAAGAGGATTGTATCATAGGGAGACTCTGTCTAAAATACTACACACACACTCCATACTCTCTACAAGAAATAGGCTATTTCCTTTATTATTTTCTTTTCTTTTCTTTTCTTTTTTTTAGAGGTTTTTACCTTAGGGTACATGTGCTCACTGGAGAGAGAGGGATACAGACACAGTGAGAGGGAAAGTGAGAAACCAACCCTTGGGGGGAATGGTCATACCGCAATCCCTTCTCCTGCATTCTCCTCCCAGGATCTTGGGCATAGATGCACACACACCTGGCGTGAGTTTCAATCCACTGGGTCTGGGACTCAAACTGCAGCTGACCATGTGAGTGTCCAGTGACATAACCATATGCCATCTGCTGATCCCACTTGCTGTTATTCCCCCCCCCCTAGGATATGTGCACTTGCCAGAGAGAGAGAGAGAGAGAGAGAGAGAGAGAGAGAGAGGGAAAGTCTCCTCTTGGGACTCTGGGCAAGCATGCCACGTGTCCAGTGCGATTTCTAAGGTCAGTTGACCATGTGGGAGTTGAGCATCTTAACCACCATGCCACCTGCTGGCCCCATATCCTGTGTATTTTTCATGTTTTTGTTTTGAGTATTATTGCAGCAAACATTTATGAAGCACTAAGTATCATTTTATGTGGTCATACACTTCCCTATCCCTCAGACCAGTTCTAGCCATACACACTGTATCACTACCATTTACCCAAAGCTTAAGAAACTGCACTTCACAAATGATGCAGTCAGTGCTGAATTTAGCCTGGATTCAGTGGGTTGACTTCTGTACTCACAGTTTTACTCCTTCAATCACTATGCATTTAGTTATGGACCCTCCTTTCGCTAGCCTTTTTAAACATAAATATTTATGTGTATCTATAGGGAAAAGGTACATTTCTCAAGTGAACATTAAAGGTGTCATACTCTGCATCTATCAACTACCATGAGATAGGAAAACCCCACTTAACCTACCTGACTGCTCCCATCACAGTCTTCCAGAATGGCTGTGGTGTTTTCAATGGAAATGCATTTTCCCAAGGCTACATTAATAAGCTAGGCAGCAAAACATAAAATATGAATTAAGAAAATAAACTTCTCTTATGTTAAAGTGGAACAAGACATTCAGACACATTTAGGAAACACATAATATAAAACTATAATAAGGTTAAAAGATAGTTAAGTTAATAGCTTGGTTACTTAGCACTATACAATTTTATTGGTTGCTATCTCTAACAGGGACATAATACAATTTAGCTAAAGTATGGCTTCAATCTGTCAATTTAGGCCTGTGATTCAGCCACAGAGCCAACAAACAGAAGCTTTTAATTAACCCTTGCCTGGAATGTTAAATAGCAAATAAGCAAAAGGTAGCATAAAAAGTAGTTATTTTCTCATCTCAAGTTTATCTAATGCAATATTAAAAGTCAATGCGCATACTTGCAATTTAACCAAATCAAGAGTTCCAGGCTATGTTCTCTGGCTGACCCTTTCAAGTTATGTGACTGCTTGGGCACTGAATCAGAGATAAATTGAGTCCTTCAAAGAACAGCAGATTCCAGCTGATTCCCTGTCAGAATCTTCCTAATGACTCACGCGAGCTACAATTCATTACAGGAAAGTCACGAAAGCTAATATAGAGCCAAGCATAAAGGCATTTTCTGGCAGGCCCCCAGATTTTTAATGGATTTACAGGGTCAAAAATGGAGGTAGCTTTCTAGAAGTCACCATTTAATGCTGAAAAATGTTGATTCTTTTGCCCCCTTTGACACCTGAGGCAGGGCTAATGAGATAGTGGGTTAATAGTACAATTTAGGCATTTCAGATTGCTAGAAGAACTGTGCAGAGCCAATCTATATTATGTATCTCAGCAAAGCCTGCTGAGATGGGAGACGCTGTGGTCTCTGCCAGGGATACGATGTTTTTTTAAAGACTTTTTTTTTTTTTTCTTTTTTTATTATTATTATTACTTAAATTTGCCATAGGACTCACCAGAAAGAGAGAGAGCGAGAAAGCGAGCTGCCAGGACTGGGACTCAAACCACTGTCAGCCATGTGGGAGACCAGTGCCTTAACTACCACATTACCTGCTGGCCCCAAACACAGATGCTATTTATGCCCCTTACTGTTGTATGATACCCAGCATAGAGGTCTAACACTGGCCTCTGCATTAGTATAGGCTGTGTAGCTCAGAGTTGCCAGACTTCATAACATAATGAATGTACATTGGTTTGCTCCTAATGTTTACATGAATAGATTAGCTTCTAATAAAGTAAGGAGGAATCTCTAGAGACCAGAAAATACAGACAAAACTAAAAGGGAGAGGGAAAATTATACATGTTGGTAAACAAGGAACTTGCTCATCCTGAGGATAAGAGGGAAACTTGGGAATGGGTAAGCCAGAGTTAGAATTGAGGTCTTTCTCATAAAGATGGAAAACTAGAGTTAGAGTCTCAGTAGAGTTGTGTATTAGGAAAATCAATTTACCTCCTAGTACAGGGAGTCAATGGGGAAGTTATATTCTGTCTGAGAGTCTGAAACCTTACACTGACCCTCATGTGAGTGTGAGATAAAGAAAGTATACTAGTTGCATTGGATAGAAACCATCCTTCAATGCTTAGAAACAGACATTAGAAATAGTATTAGATTGTAACCTTTGTAAATGTCTGGTACAGAAAAACACAAAATAATTCTCTAAAGGTGAAATCGCCACCAAAAATGCTTAAAGAAAGTTCTAATATGATTTAAAATGACACAAATGGGAGGGAGGAGACAGCCCACTGTTAGTAAAAATGAACAGTAAATGTGAGCACAGAAGGATTCAACCATGACAAACTTCAAAGACAGTGATAGGAAAGCATGAAGGTAGAATAATCCTGGAGTTTAAAGAAAAGCAATCATGTCTTAATTGTTCTCTTGATCCTGGCAAAGATACACATCAACTCCTGTAGTTGTAGATCACACACAACATATTCTGTCTCCAGCGAGGTTGGCACACTGGTTTCAACATAGTTGAACAGGTGGTCCTTCTCCAGCACCACTCCGAGCCCTCAGGGAGGTAGTGATCTGCTTGCTGCTCAGAATGCAGTGTGAGTGTTTCCCCAAATTTACTTAACCATGGTCTCCTAGGGCGGGCACAACCGGCATTACTCAGAACAGGGCTGGGGAACTGGCAGTTTTAACTGATTTTGTTTATTTTGTGCAATTTCTTCCTCCAAGCTCTAAAGAAGCATTGGAAGAAGAGGGAGAAAAAAAGTCTTTTCTATCCCTTACATTTTCCTTTCCCACTTCATCTAAAGATCTGTTTCCCTTTCTTCTTTTTCAGATATTACTGGAGAAATGAATCTTCTTCACATAGAAATAGTCTATGAAATACTAAGAAATCATTATTTATTCTTTTTCTAATTGCCAGATGGGCATGTGCGAGAAAGAGAGAGAGAGAAATCACTTCTGAGTGTGGCTTGGCCATGCCACAATTCTTTTTTCTCCATTTCTCCATACCATCAGAATGTGGGGCACACACGCTCAGGTGCCTGGCACGTTTTTTAAGTCTCCAGATCAGGATTTGAACCACAGTGGTGCATGAGGGATACTCCTCCCAATGTACAGTGCTTAATCACTATGGGGCAATCTTGATTTAAAAAAAAAAATAGTATAGGGACCAGCAGATGGCATAATGTTAAGATATGGACTCCCATCTAGTCAATTGTGGTTCAAGTACCAGACCCGGCAGCTTAAAACTCATGTCAGGCACGTGTGCATATGTGCCCAAAATCCCAAGAAGAGAATGGAGGAGAAAGGATTGCAGTGTGGCCATCCCCATGGAGATAATTTCTCACTTTCCATCTCTCTGGTGAGCACATGCTCCCTATAACAAAAGCCTCTCCAAAAAAATAAATGAATAAATAAATAAAAATCAAGTAGTGTATAAATTCAAAACTTTCAAAGTTGAATTTTTCAATTTAAGAGGAGGAAATTCCCCACAGTTCAGGCTGTATGTTGCTTGATAAGCGTTTAGTACGATGTTAAAATACAATGTTGGTATTTTGTACAGATAGGTTCTTTCATTAGTTTCCAATATTTTTGGTTTGATAAGAAATTGTTTTCATTAAAAAATATACAAAAAAGTTTTTTCACTGGATTTAAATTCTTAACTGTGGAGGTTGAAAGAAGAGAAAACACGAAGCAGTAACAACAAGGATATTTTCTTAGAACTTTTATGTCTACCCAAAATAATAGACTAGTTCATCTTATTCTGAATTACCTACAGAAATGTCCCAATTCTTTCCCCCCAAATGGCAGTAAACTCCCTGATGGAAGTTAGACAAATATAAAGAAGAAATGTGCTTAAATCATTTAGATAATATTTGTTACATTTTGATATTTTATAGTTGGGGCATCAGCAGAGGCTGCTTCATCAGAGAACTTGTCCAAAATTCCATGGGAACTCATACAAGTTGTAGCACAGTGGAGCCAAAAGGTAGTTTTTTAGTTCCCTCTGGTGGTTAAAGTTTAGTAATGCTCTTACTGAGATTCCACGTTATAACAAGAGAAAATTGTATGGTAAGAATTCTGATTTTATTTTTCTGCTCAGGAGATGAAATTTTAAAATGTAAATTTGTTTTGCAGACCTATTGGACATCTCCTTATTTTTACAAGGTAAAATAAATTTTAAAAAAGTTAATATTTTTTCTAAGATAAAATACATGTTTGAACCACCTGAAGTAGGTGCTATTCTGCTTTGACCTAAAAAATACCAATTTTATAAGAAATTATGTTATATATACTTACATATTAGTTGAGTTTTTAAAAAACAAAACAGATTTTCAGACTAGTTTCCTCTCCTTCACACTCTTCTTGGATTTCCTTAATACTGGCAAAAGGAGTGGCTTTATTTAGTCCTTGTTCTGAGTAGATTTGTCAGACAGCGAGAGTAGTTGGTCAGTATAACCCATTTTTCAAGAAGAATGGAAAAGAACTGGCCTAAAAGAACAGGCTTACTGATGGTAAAGTTTATGAATATCTTGGATGGAGAAACAAAAGAAAGAAAACAAAACAACACTGGGAATAATTACAAGAATTGTTCTGAGTAGATTTGTCAGACAGCAAGAGTAGTTGGTCAGTATAACCCATTTTTCAAGAAGAATGGAAAAGAACTGGCCTAAAAGAACAGGCTTACTGATGGTAAAGTTTATGAATATCTTGGATGGAGAAACAAAAGAAAGAACACTGGGAATATTTACAAGAAAAAAAATAAATTAGAAGTAAAACAAAAGCAATTAGAAAAAAATAACTGATAAAGAGCTCTAGGTGAAGGCTCCACTTATCTTCCTTAAACTCATGCTATGGTCAATGTCCTCACATCTTACCACACCTTCAGAGATTGTTCCCTCCTCACTTCACTCCCAGGATGGGATTGAAATGGCTTCATCTAGTTTCTCTGCTTCCTTGATAGTTTTCTTGGTTTCATACTTGATCCAACCTATCTGGCTAAGCTGCTGCTTCTTTGTATCTTCACTAGTGTCCTGGAATTGTATCTGCTGTTTTCTGACAGTTTCTATTGTTTTCAACCCCTCTTTGAACTCTTCTTAAAAATCCTAATTAAATCTCATGATCCCATAGCTAACTCTGCTCATGCTTCTCATTACATTCACAGCAAAGAAGGAAGGAAAAACGGCAGCCAGGAAGGGAGGGGAGGCAAAGGACAGAGGGAAGGAAGGGAAGAGATAGAGAAAAAAAAATCCTTTGCCTGTAAATACCACGTGATCCAAATCCTGCCTTCTCCACCTACATGTGGTGCCGTGCTTCCCTCGTCCACACCTGGGCACATTCATCTCTTTTCTAGTTCCCGAGAGCCTCAGACTTTCACCTGTCAGATTTTGCAGGAGCTGCTTCTTCTAGGATTCAGTCCCTTAGAGCTTGGCTGACGCTTCATGTTTCAGTCCTAGGTTTCAAAGTGTTTGCCTCAGAGAGGATTTCTGAATCGCTCTAACTTAGAAAGATTCATCTTTGTGGTCTATTCTATTTTGTATTTGCATTTTTTTATTTGTTTAGTATCCTTCTTCCCTACTCAACTTTAAGCTCCATGAGGAAAAGGATCAAGTGTACTTTATTCAACACCCTGTAACCCAATTCTGAGATTCTGCCTGGTTGGTTGATACCCAGTAGGTATTTGTTGAATTAATCAATGAACTTGACCACCTGGTAGGTTTTATCATGTTTACCTGTATTTAATTCTTCCTATGCTTTGGCCCATCAAACACTCATATTCGGTGTTTATTTATACTGGGAAAATTAATCTTTTTCTACTCATTATTGAAGGGCATTTGCATTTTGTTTCTATGAAGTGAGATTTGTAGATTGTTACTTGAACTTACCACACCATTAGCTCTTACAATGGGAGCCTTTAAGTCAGGAAAGACATTCTCCAAGTACCATTTGAAACTTTTACACTTCAGCTTCTTTCGAAGTTCTCTTTGTTGGGTGAGGTTGCCAACATCTAACCCTTGGTCTATGAGGTGATCTCCATGGCCATAGAATAGCTCCTTATACTCATCAAGCCAGACTTCGGCCACCCGCACCAGGTTCCGCTCCACCGTCTTCATACGGTCTTTGGGGAAGGAATATGGGTTGTCATTTCTAAATATGTGACCCACTCGGGAGCAGGGTATGATCTCAATTTCACCTCCACACATCCACACCTGGAACAATTTAATGATAAGTATCAATTATCAAACAATTGTCCAAACATCATGGGCATTTAACAATGACAAGAAATGATCTTGTGATTTTGTTTCTGTTTAGAATAGTTCTTTCAACTTCGAAGGCATATTGACAAAGAAAAACAAACTCAATGGGTTTATTTAATTTTGCATACTGTTGTGGTCCATTTTAGGATTAGCAATATGTAATTTTCTTTAAGAAAACAAGCTTTTTTCCCCCAAAAAAGGTCTTCATAGACTCCTAATGTACAATATAAAATATCTAATATGGGTTCCTATTTTGTTCGAATCGGTAAAAGGAGTATGGATGTTCATTTGTTTACCTTCTCCTTCTCTCAACTTGGGACAACCCATAAAGCCCATGGTGCACAACACAAAGACCATTCTTCTAGATCAGAAGCTCCAAAGTTATAATCCTTTCAATACTGTATTTGAGCCATCCGACTCCGTAGGAATGCAGTTGCTTTTGGAATGCTCTCTATTGTTGCTGTAGTGATGGCGTTCTTAGATGATAATCAATAATCATATGAGTGATTGTGTGAAATGTCCAAAAGACCTGCACTACGGGATACCCCCTAGTCTGCTGGTGGCCTTCTCTGGAGGTACATTTTTGCACTTCTGCCATTTATTTTCTAAGATGCTTCATTATAAAGTGATTCCATTATTTCCAATGTATTAGAGAGATGTTTTTGAAGAATTATTTTGTACCAAGTATCAATTGCAGAATTGGATAGCAGAAACTCACTTTCCCCTCATGCAGAAACAGTGGAGTAACATATTAGGAAAGTAATAAATTTCATGACAGCTATTGTTCACATGCAATCTGAGATGTAAAAACAATAACCAAGAGACCCTAGAATTCTGTGAAATTTCCTTTCAGTGGCAGTCATGCATATGATTATATTAGTAAAACAAAACCACATAAAATGATAGAACTCTTCTTGTAAAGAAAATTCGAGAAACACTTGATAATACCTTGAATGAGAGCTCCATGTTTTCTCCACCCCAAACATCAAGGCCAGGGTCGTATGTTCCAAGTTCAAAAAAGTACTTTTTATCAATAGAAAATAATCCACCTGCCATCACAGGGCACCTACAAAAAGAATGTTTTTTAAACTTCCATCTTAGGGGAACTCAACTTTTGGAATTGGTTTTCTGTACATTTTATTGAACTTACATGGCATAAGACTAGCTAATAAGTATACTAAGTACAGAGAAGTCTTGTGTTGAAATAAAAAATAGTGCATGAGGAACATGCTTCTTGGTTCATGGTGGCAGAGCTTGATTAGAGTCAGCAAAGATACAGCCCGGAGTTAGGACTTTTATTTGTCTTTTGTACTCTGGCACATACTCTCAAGGGATGTTATTTTTAGAAATATTATTTAGGGCTAAAGGAGCACCAGGCATTGTTGTAAACAAGAGGAGACTTCAAAAATTTGTGAGAAAACTGTTAAAGTAAGAGTTTATTTCCATGCCAAAAATAATTAGAAATTTTGGAGAGTTTTTAAAACTAATATACATTGTCATAAACTTTTTTTTAAAGGAGGTTTTTGCTTTAGGGTGCATGCACTTGCCAGAGGGACAGAGAGACAGAAAGCAAGAAATCACCCCTGCGGGGGATGGCCATGCCACAATCCCTTCTCCTCCATTCTCCTCTCAGGATCTTGGGCACGCATGCACACCCGCTCAGTATGAGTTTAAGTCACCGGGTCAGAAACTCGAACCGTGGTCTACTACATGGGAGCCCAGCAACATAGCCATTATGCCATCTGCTGGTCCTGCATTTTCATGAACTTTTTAAAGATCATTTGTATTTTTTTTTTTTGGGGGGGAGAGGTTTTCACTATAGGGCACGTGCGCTCGCCAGACAGACAGAGAGAGACATAGAGACAGAAAGCGAGAAATCACCCCCCCAGGGGGGATGGCCACGCTGTAATCCCTTCTCCTCCATTCTCCTCTCGGGATCTTGGGCACGCATGCACACGCGCCCAGCGTGAGTTTTAAGCTACCGGGTCTGGGATGTGAACTGCAGTTGACTACGTGCGAGTCCAGCGACATAGCCATTATGCTAACTACTGGTTCCCAAGATCCTTTGTATTTTCTATGCATTAACTCAGACTGCAAAAAGTTTGTGAATGTAGACCCTTATTAAACTGCAACTTGGCTGAGCCAGTGTGGTGGAGCAATCATGCTAATGCCCTGAGGTGCTGAAATCCATATGATGACTGTGGTTCAGGTCCCAGGTCAGACTGAAAGACATGCTGGGTTTGCACTTGGGCACTCAGGATCCTGAAGAGCTGGAAGACTGGGACAAAGGGATCATAATGTAACAACAAGAGATTGGAACCATTCTCTCTCTCTCTCTCTCTCTCATGCATGTGCATACACTTTCTAACATAACAAGAAAAGTGAGGGGGACAAAAGAAATCCCAACACAGGGCTGGCCAAGTGGTGCAGTAGTAATGCTCTGCTCAAATGCCACTGGATCTGTATGGAAGATGGAGGGTTTTGTTCCCCAATCTGTTCACACCAGGTTCCCATGACCATGATCCTGCCTGGGGGGAACGGGGATCTTGTCCTAAGACCATGTTCACGTTACTCTCCTCTCTGTCATTCACTCTCATGAAAGAAATAAATAAACTTAAAAACAACAACAACAAGAGGTTGAAATGCAGAGAAGGTAAGAAACGTTCCCCAAGACAACAGGCTGGTATGTTTTACATCACTGGTTCATAATTAGGCAGTCTGCCTTGGCCCTGCTCTCTCGTTCCTCTACGCTCGCTCTCAACCGTAGATAAACTTTACTAATAACTTGTTATGTGATAAGCACTTTTGAAATGATTTATATTATCTTCTTTAATTCTCTAAACAATGTAAGTGGTAGCTATCTCTATTAGTCTTCTGCTCTTCATGTGAGAATGAAGAAACAGAGACACAAAGTAGTCAGTAACCTTTTCAAACTCATTCAAATAGTAAGTAGTAGAGTTGAGATTCAAACCCAAAGAATCTGGCTCCAGAGCCTTCATTTCCATTGATGATGGAAGGTAGAATACATTTTAGTCAGGACTTAGACAAGGCAGTGATTACTTTCCATGGTGGCTACCACTGAGTGAGCTGAAAGTGGTTTCTATGGAGAGTCAGTAAACTCAAGGATAAAGCAATTCCTGCCCACATCTCTGTAACCTCCTCCATCATTCATGTACGTATTCTATCTGTACCCCAAAAATCCTTAGAAGACTATCCGGAGTATGTTCTCTCTCTAACATTATATTGAATATGATCTGAAGTCAACCACAGTACTGACCCTCAAGATGGGCTTCTGAAAAAAGTAAAGAGGTTTTTTAGATATGGCACTAGAATAGAGTACTAAAGTGAGGCAGGTCTGGATTTGAGTCCACAATTCTTCTTCTTCTTTTTTGAATTGTTCTTTTCTTTCATGAGAGATGGAAAGAGAGAGAGAGAGAAAGAGAGATAGAGACAGAGAAAGACATACCCCCAACAGGGGCTTGACACGGTCATCCATCCCAGCCTTCACCAGCTAGGCTGACAAACACACATATATGTATGTTCAGTGTGCAAGGGAGACTTGGCATGTAAACTTGGACCCGTCTCATGTGGCCTCAGCATCATGGAACATTGCACTACTAGTGCACACTGGGGCTGGCTCCCATATTCTTTTATTAGCTATGTATCATGGGAAAATTAACTCTTAGAAGTCTCAACTTTCTTATTTCCATATGAGGAATATTGCCAGCTCTCTCCTAGGGTTATAGAGAAGGTTAATTGCCTACACACGGTACTTAATACATGGTGGAGCCCCCACTTTACTCTTTGGGAGTATCAGTTCTGAGGGGAGCATAACTGATGGGGAAGGAGTGTGCTTTCTTGGGGAGTAAGACCAGGATGTGGATCCTGCCATGCTCAGGCTGGGTTTTCTCTTTGGACTTCGCTAACTTGTATCTGCTCAAGTTCTCTCACCAACAGAGAATGCTTCAATGCTTCCTGCCTGGTACTGCCTGTACTCCCACAGTTAAGACTCTCTGGAAGAAACAGAAAGCCCCCACTTTGGCTTCTGGTCCAAGCTGCATCCTTTAATCCAGATTCTTCAGCAATAAAGCCCAAATGTTAATTGATATCCAGCTGCTGTGTCTTTTTTTTTAAATTCATTTACAGAGTTCAGCAGCTTTCCCATGGGAGAGGGTAAGATGAGTCCATAAAAGAAAACCCTAATGATATTTCTATTACTCTCATTTACTTTCAATTTTTACTTATATTTAATTCACTATTATGTAGCACATCCAACTAGTTTGTTTCTTAGGCTGAGAATACTAGGGAAAAGGAATAGCATTAGTGAATTTTTCTAACTAGAGTGCGATTGATCATTTAAAAATGAGTTTTCATTCTGGGAAATTAGTTTCTCAGCATCCTGTGCATCTGATAGGTTTTTGCTGGGTATGAATAAGCAGATGAGGATCAGGGAGGAGCCAGGATCACAAAGGGGGCCTTCAAGAGAAACCATAAAACCACTTACTTACTGTCAAACTAAAAAATGGCTGTATGTGTTGTGAAACTCATGAGAAACAAGAAGTAAGGGACAAGATAAAACTAGAAGCTAGAGGAGGCCTTGAGGCACACACTTTGAATAAACAAAGGTTCTACAGGACAAAAGGGGACCCCAAGAAGAAGACAGGGCCTGCTGGCCTCCCTTGGCCTGTTCTGTGTGTGGAATCTCTCACCATCAACCTTGACTCAGCCTGCGTCCTCATCCTTCCTTTGCTGTGTGGGACAAATGTGAACCACATATTTCTCAACTTAATACTTTGGTGATCAATTGACTAGAATTTTACATCTTGATGTTATATAGAATGACAAGATGCAGCAGTTTTGTCTATGTCTAGTTTTAAATTTCACACACTTACCTTATTACATCAGTTTCTTTAATTTTGTTTTGTGCAACGATATCTGGAGGAATTGTTCTCCAACCAAAGTTCATGGGCCACACGAAGATTCCTCTTTGAAAACTGTCCACCGTCATGTAACTAATCCATGGAAAAAACCAAAGAGCTACTTGAGATTACATACATCTTTATATACTTCATCAATTCTCTTCCATGACTTATTTATATGAGTGAAACAAGTCTTTACAGAAATCATTTCTGGATCATCCACTTCAAAATAGTTTGAGCGAGTTAATGAGTACAATTTGTGTTAGTGACTAATTGGCTAGTGTGCTTGCATTTAATGTATATTTTGTCTTAATAATGTCCTGGGAATTTTTTGAGGAAAAAATAAAACATACAAACACTTAGGTGTTTTCCATAAAAATAAGAACTCAAGTTGGGGGAAAAAGATATTTTATTTTTTGCTTTAGCTGAATATAGAGAGGAAAGATTTAGAAGAATATTAGGATTTATTGCTATTTAGAGTAAAAATTTGTGATTATTTGATTGGCAGGCTCTGATGCCAAGACACCTCCCATGAATTTTCATCTGTTTATGTGAATAAACTGAATCTCTCTTAGAATTTCAGAAATGCACATATTAGGAGTACATGCAACACCTTCTGCTGCTTGACGGTTAAAGAAGTGTTAGAAGTATCTTGTAAAATATGGAAGTATTACCTCATATCTTTATCATTGATGACTTCGATTACTGGACATGCTACTTTCTTTCTACTTAAATAAACTCTTTCCAACAGAGGTTCCAACCAACCGACATTACATTCCACATGAGAATCTAAAAATGTCAACACATCACCTAGACAGCCAAAAAAAAAAAAAAAAAACAATACAGTGAGTGTGTGTACTTCATATTCAAAGGTGTTTGGTGTTCCCTAAACTTGGCTTTGAAGGCAATATTTTACACTTCTCACTGAATTCCTCGTCCCTATAATTTCATTCTATGATGAAATGGACATAATGTTGTCACAAAGTGTCCTGTGGGGCAAGCATAATTTATACTTGAAAAATAATTGATAAGCCACTTAGAATGGGTAATAAGATTAAGGAACGGACCACTTAGTATTTAGTATTAAGTTATTAAAGTCCCTTCTAAGGAGGATAGGTCATTAACTCTGTGCTGTGGGATGAAAGACTTTGCTTTTCAGAAGACCAAAAAGACCTTGAGAGTACAAGCTTGGCCTTAGGAATGATAAAGAAAAAGGACCGTTTTACAATATAGAGATGAAAGGAAATTAAAGTAGAAGCAGCAGCAAGAATAGGAGGTATTTTTAAAGAGTTACAGGAGAGGTGCAGCAGTAGCACAACACTGTGCTGCTGAGGCCATATGGGAAGGCCCCAGGTTCACATCCTGAGGACTCTCTGTACATCCTGGGAGAGTGGGCATGTGCCTATGATCCTGGCTGGCTGAGACTGAGGTGGATCACAGTGTAGATGCTGTTGTTGAGGGGGTGGCTCTCTCACACTCCATAAATAAATACAAATAAAATCACAAGAGTTACAGGAAAGGGGAATGGGGAATTGTTAAATGGGTATGGAGTTTTATTTTTACAAGACAAAAACAGGTTTGGAGATTGCAAACAATGTGAATACATCATACTTAACAGTATCAAACTGTATGCTAAAAATAGTTTAGATGCTAAATTTTGTTACGTACATTTTACTATAATCTTAAAAATAAAAAAGCTACTAAAAAAGGAAAAAGAAACTTGAAGACCAGAAGTATTTATGAAAAACTGTTTTCCCCCCATTAGTTGTGTGAAGTAACAAACACCCTCTCACTCCTCAATGAAACTACAGTAACATCTATTTTGCTCCAAATGGTTTTATAGTCGTGTGTGTGTGTGTGTGTGTGTGTGATTCATAATAACCCGAGGAATCAGCTTTACCTGCTGCTTTTGAGGGGAAGCCGCCCTCCCATCCAGACTTGGTGGTCAGCCAGTGCACTGCACTCTCTCCGGGGAATCGAAGTCAAGGACTCAGGCCTGCCTTCCCCTCAATTGGGCTTGCTCATGTACATAGGTAACCCCTAGCCCAGGTGCCTCCATTCAGAGACATCTTTTAGGCCATTATGTCCCCAAGACCATCTAATCTGAGGTGGAGGGGGTATTAAAGACACTTTTCTTCACTGTGACTCAGTATTGAGGGCTTTCGCATTCCCAGCCCCTCCCTTCTTTCACCCAGGCCTACTGGACAGTGCAGAAGGAGCCTATTATTCTGGGCTTTACAGAATGCAGTCTGATGGTACTCACTTCTGCTCTACTCTGACCACCACCAGTGGCATTCGATGGGGGGAAATGGAACACTGTGCTTTCTCCTGTTGAGCCTCTTCCAGATACAGTTGTGGTAAGTGATTAAGGCTTGACTATTACTTTCATTATGGCCTTCGTTTTAACTGACTACTCTGATACTTGGCTGCTCAGTTCTGCTTTTGACAAACCTACAATTACAATGGTCTATTAAGTCTGATTCTGTGCTGGACTCTGTTCTAAGCATTCTCCATGGATGTTTTATTTAGTACTTAAAACAAACCTCCAGTATAGGTCTAATTTTTATTTCTATCTGAGAGACAAGGAAACCAAAGAATGAAGAACTGAAGTAACTTTGCCAAGGTTGCACTGCTAATAAATAAAATGTGATATTACAAAGTAAGTATAAGTATTTCATTCCATAGACTATTTCAAAACAAGAAGAAGAAAGAAAGAAAGAAATGGAAAAAAATAAAAAGCTATAGGTCTACCCATGGTAGAGCATGCTGGTAGTTCATGCTACTTGGTAGGCTCAGGCCACGTGGGAGACCTAGGTTGGATTCCTGGATGCCTGAAAACTGGGAGCAGTGGTACAGACCTATAGTATCAGCTACTCTGGGAGGTAAGGCAGGAGAATTGGGACATAGTGAGACCCTGTTTTTCTTATTTGTTTATTTATTTTTAAATAAAAGTCATAATGAGGCAGAGCTTTGAGTATAGGAAGGTTTAAACAATGAGGAGAGGATAGTTATCTAGATCATTATTACTGAAACCTCTGAGTTTCTTCTCAATAATAGAAGTCAGTATTATATTAAATACGAGGTCAATCGAAGTTCTGCACAAGTGAGGGATTGACCTTAGCTGAGATCTTCTTGGGAAGTGCCCTTGAGAAGTTTCTTTAGACAGGGTACCTGTGCTAGGCAGAAGCATCTCCTGTAGTCTATCTTGGAGACAGCAGCCAAGATCTCTTGAACATGCTGAGGGAGTCCTATATTCAGGGCATTAGAGTTTGCTTGGTTGTGCCCTCAGGGAATCCTCTTACACATACCTCTCCCCTGTTGTGAGAAGGTTCACAGGATTATCTAGATGTGTAGGCCATGTGCACATGGCCTAAGGATCACTTGGCCAGTAAGACGGAATGTGCTAAGGACCATCTCCCTTTGCTCATCACTCCTGCTCATCATGGTCTATTCAGACCCTGACTTTCAAGAGTGGCCTCTACTCTACCACCTGTCCTTATTATATTTGAAACAGCTTTGTCAGTCCCCAGCAGCAGTAAGATGGGTCCCTAAATTGCATTTCACTTTCTGCCTGGCATAGATCCATACAGTGATTTTCATTCACTGTAGCCAGGATCTGAGGGAAACAGTATCTGCCCAAAATATAGTCTGGGGTTTTATATTGCTTTATCTGGGGGAAGAGGAGAATCTCCTATGCATGAATTCCATTGCTCTAGTTTCAGACACTTTATCTTAAATGAAGATCTAAAGACTACAGTAAGTAAGAAAACAGGATACTGTCTGTGAGCTTACTCTTGGTGGGACTTCCAATTGTGGTAAACATTGTCTGATTGTCTGTGGACATTGTACACATGGTTCTCAATCCTGGGAGGCCGAGAGGCATGGTCACATGAGCATAGGATTGAAATCACACACAACTGCTTGTAATCCCAATACTGCTTTTCCCAGCCATATTGGAAATGACAGAATTTCTCTGAGCTTACTTTATGGGGATATTTCCCAGACTGACCTAATACTGAAATTCTCAATAGATGGCTAGTATTATTTACTCTTTTCAAAGGATGTTTAAGCTTTAACTCAGAATAGTTTACTCAGCCTTGATTGTAGCCTGGCAAGATTTTCTGTTTTCTAAGAGTAAGTCCTGGTAATGCTGGATTGTTTGCAGATGAGTTTCATGGTAACTTTTTATTATTAATAATTTTTTTGGCCAACGCAAAGCTGCTTAATGTGCCAAACAACTTTGGCTCCTTGTTGAGCACAATCCCCTGGTTTGTATGTAGTCCACCAGCATGGGATATTGCTGCCAGGCCCCATTAGTGCTGGAGTGTTATGTTTAGGGTTCCTTGAGGGATGGGGTCTGGATCGTCATCTAATTTTACAAAATAACTTATAAGTTATTGCAAGGAAACTACCTATTTTATCTGCAGCAGAAACAAGTTATAAGAACTTTACAGAAGGATGATCCTAGGTGCTTTACAGAGAGTTAAGAGAAAAAGATGCACAGAAATAGAAATCAAGCAGTCTGTTTTGGTTCCAGGAGTTGGTCAGGAGTTAGATATCACGTGTTGTCTAGTTACATAGTTAGCCAACTGAGTCTCCAGAATGCTCACAGCAATGTCAAGAATTCTGCTAAGTGCCATGTCATGAAGGAAATGGGAATCTGATCTTTACTTTGAATGCAGGCTCCTCTTGGTGGAGAGTAATTCACTCAATCTGTTTAACTCTAGCCCCAGACCCAGGTGGTCTGTTTGTTCCTCTGTTCTTCAATTGCCCTGTTCTTACTTCTTTTATCTTCAGACAGTAAATGATACTTAGATATCCACTGCCTGACCTGCTCCCCAAATGCTACACTCAGGTCTTTTAAACGCCTCATTCACAGAAAATATCTGATTGGATTTGATCGTTTTGCCTGAATCAGATTCAGATGAAAAACTAGCATGCCTAGAACCTGACAGCATAGTGGATATTGCTGATGGTGAGAGAGATGTCTGTTTGGCCCCTTCCTATTTTGTAGGTGACTCTTTCAGACTTTCAAAGAGTCCAATCACACTCTGGGGCCAGAATGGACCATTTGCCTTCTAGTTCTGCATGTCCTTGGATCTCAGCCTTATATTTGAATTCTGATGGGTCAATCTTTAAGGAAGAACAGTTGTCAAGGTCTGTTAAAGTCTGGACTCAGATCCTTTAATCTGTTTGACTAAGCCATTCCAGAGAAAATTCCTACCTAATTTCTTCACCTCTCTCTGACTTATAGTAGATTCTTGAGGTCCTGATTTGACTTTTCTCTTTCTCTACTCATGGGGGTTGGGAATGCCCAGGGAATTGAGAGGACTCATCAAGCCAGCCAATCCTGCCCAATCCCTAAATTATATCCTCAGCTAAAGTTGGCAATTTCACTGTTCAATTCTGTTGAATTTCCCACATGGATCTGGTGCATGTCAAGACAGGCTGAAACTAACTCCATAGAAACGTAACTTTCTGCTTTGTTCCAAATTCTCAGACATTGACCCTTCACTAATACTGTTCAAAACATGGGCTACAGACCCTGCTCACTATAGGAAAAGAGGAGTTGAAATTGAGAATGAATTTTTTGCAATTCCATTAGCAATCTGCCAGAGTAATTTATTAACTTATTTTTTAATTATTTAAATTGAAATATATGCCTCTCTCTATATAAGCACACACATATTATGTGTGTACACAAACACACACACACATACACACACACATACACACACACATATATGGAAAAGTCATGATGCATTTTTCCATAGATAAACTTCATTAATCTATTCTCATGGATGACAGAGAGAAGACAAAGCTGCTGTTTCTGCCCTTTCCCAAAAGTTGTGTGTACACAAACACACACACACATACACACACATATATGGAAAAGTCATGATGCATTTTTCCATAGATAAACACAGAAAATGTCATGACTTTTCTAATGACCTAATACACAGAATAAAAATAGGTGTGTTTATTATGTATCTGTTGTTTTCATTTCTTTTTTTAGGCAATTTATTTTATTATAATTTACAAAGGAGTATGTTCACAAAAAAAATGAATATTAGGAGAAAATTTCTTTCTCAGGTAGTGGAGAACATCTCTCCATTAGGTAATGGCAGGTAATTAAGATACACCTATTGGTATTTTTTTTTTTCCTGAGAGTTGTAATCCATTAGTGAATCATTAAATCAATTCAGTGGGATTGGCCAGAATCTAAAAAATATATAATATAGGAAAGAAGATATTAGAACTCATTGCACATGCTGCTTGGTGAAATGTCTACTGTAGCTATATGTCTAATTACACATATGCTGGGTTGTGATGTAGAATTTATTTCTTAACATGAATCATCGTCAAAATAGTTTGAAATTTACTGAGCTAATTTGCTCAAGGGTGTTAACGAATGACTCAGAAACAAATGCACATTTTTACATTTGGATTTGCTAAATTAAAAAAATACATCTTTTATGAATATAACTGTAAAGCACTTGAATAAGCAGTTGCAACTGCTTTTAATCAAGTTCATTGTGTCTCCTTGGGAGACAGTCTCCATTTTGTATAATAGTTTGGACTATTCTAGAGATGACTACTAGCATAATTTGTGTTCTGGGCAGGCAGAGAGAAATTTTATTACAAATAACACATTTTGGGTTCTGAATTCATCAACTCTCTGCTCAGGATGTATAATTTTCACTGTGAATTTACATGGGAAAAATCAAAACACAATTGCAATCTGTAAGTATGGCCCCACCATTCACCATGTTGTTCAGATTCTAATCTTAGGGCTTGTTTCTTATTCCTCTCATTATTACTCTCTTTATGCCTTATTTGATGACAAGTCCATAAGTTTCGTGTATACAATGTATTATGAATCTGACCACTTCCTCCATCTGCTCTGGTACCTCCCCAGTATCTGGACAACTATGTTAGCCTCATAACTCGTTTCCCTATGTTCAATCTCATCTCTCTAATATCCATTCTCTTCCTAGTAGCCAGAATGAACTTTCAAAATACAAGCCAGACAGTTTTACTCTCCTGTTTTTTTCTTTTACTAGCATCACATTACATTGAAAATAATGCTACGCTCCTTAGTTACATACAAAAATGTACAATAGCCTGTTTTTGCCTTTCTTCACCAAAGAATATCTTGCCTCTCTACCCTGTGGTCAACATTCATCAGCCATAATGACTTTCTTTACTTTGAATATGCCAAACTCATTTCTGCATTAGGACATTTGCATGTCTTGTTTTATTCACCTGGGAATAAAAATCTAATTACCCAAATCTTAGCTGAAAAGTTACCTACATAGACCATTTATTTGATGTCTTATTTTTCCATCATTCATAGATAATTCTCCAGAGGAAATTAAGCATGGCATGCCATTTAATTTTTCTAAACAGAATCCCACATTAAGAATCTTAGTTGTCAGGACCAGCAGTTAGTGTAATGGCTAAGTCGCTGGACTCCCAATTAGTTGACCATGGTTCGAGTCCCGGACATGGTGGCTTAAACTCATGCCAGGTGCATGTGTGTGCGTGCTCAAGATCCTGAGAGGAGAATGGAGGAGAAGGGATTGTGGCATGGCCATTTCCCCTGGGGGGGGGGTGATTTCTCACTTTCTATCTCTCTATCTCTCTCTGTCTGTCTGGTGAGCATATGCGCCCTATAGTAAAAACCTCTCCAAAAAAAAAAAAAGAATCTTAGTTGTCAATGAAATGTCAATTTCGGTGTGAAACATGTGACATTTGCTTAAAAATCCATTACAAAGAGAAGAAATTTGCTAGCAAACCAATGACAAGAGAAGAGTTACAAGAAGTAAGACTCCGGTGAGCAGATAATTCATCACCAGAACAGGCTTGAAGTCAAGCTGGTGGAGAGTTGCAATGTCAGGGCTTAAAGGGGCAGAGTGAAGGCTAAATATCTGGGGAGAGCTAAGTGTAGTAGGTAAACATGCAAATCCTACAGCCAAGGTGTTGGGTACCAAGTGCCAGTTTTCCATTGACTAGCTGGGAGAACCTGGGTAAGTCATAACCTCACTTATTTGATATCTCCTTAATGTTTAATCTATAAAACAAGGAAAGGATTGCATCTGTATCACAGAGTTATTGAAAGGATTGAATCAGTTAGTATAGAAAGTATCTGAAATGGGGGCCAGTCTTGGTGGTATAGTCAGTAGCATATTGACCAGTAGTTCTTCAGGCCACATAGGCAACCATGGGCTTGGATCCTTGGCTCATCTGACCTGAAGCATACTGGGAACATGTGCTCAAGATCTTGATGAACTGAGGGGCTGGGGAAAGGGGATCGTGGCATGAGAAGACCCTGTATAGCATACTTAATTTTTCCCTCTTGCATATGTAATATGTAAGCACTCTCTATTATGAATAAAATATGAGAAATTTAAAAATAGCATAATTCCTGTATATAACATCAACTAGTACTCTTACAAGTAGGGCACAGATACTTCCACAGAATGATTCGATGTTATTTTTAGAATATTTATACAGAAAACTCTGACACATTTATACGTACAAGCTTTTTGTACCCCATTCACCTTCCAACACTCACCAACACTTACATCAAACAGAGGAGAGGAAAGAGGCATACTGCTCTCTGAGAAGACAGAAAGTGCTTTGGTAGAGTGGATGTAGGTCAGAGAAGAGGGTGTTGAGGATTTCAGAATTAAGATATTCTGAGATCCTCAAATACTGTTGGGATCAGGTCAAAAAGGGTCAGGCTTGAAAGGGCTCCTAGAGACAATGTGAGCACACAAAAAAATCATGGTGATAGTAGACATATTGAATTTATTTTAGCCACAAGTCCAATGATGGCGGGACGAGAGAGGAGGGAGAAAAGAGGGAGAAAGAGGAGAAGGGAGAGGTAGGAACAAAGCAAAGATGTGGAGAAAGAGAGGAACAGATCTTTTCATTACAAATGAATGTCAGCTTCAGAAAGAAGAAATCATAGGAAAACAATTTTGCAGTCATTCAATGAATTCTAAGCCACTGGGTAAAATGTTGTGGGGGCAAAAAGGACAATCTCATAGATGATACTATTGTCCCCAAATTACGTGCTGCTCCCAAAGGAAAGATCTAGCTGTCAACACCTGAACCAAGTTCTCAAGTGCATAGTGTATCACTAGTGGTGGCGGTGCATTAGGTGCCTCCCGACATGAGCCGAAAGTGACAGAACTCCCATCACCTGCGTAGTGGAAGTCTACATGCATTTATGCCAAAAAAAAACTTGTCCTGTAGGTAATATGAGGAAGCAGTCAGAACATTTTTGAATGTGGTCAGTTGTACCAAATGGCCTGGACTATTTAAAAAAAGACAGAAATCAATATAATAGTTTGTAAACTGTGGAGTTGACTTTTCTAGATTAAGAGACTAAGGAGACTGAACAGTCAAATGGTGTACAGGAGACATAATTAGATATTCAATTAAAACAAGTATTTTAGGAGCAATGAGGAAATGTGAAAGGCACCTACATTAGGTGATATTTAGGTACAGAATTTAAGAATGCACCATTCTTCAGAGATGCATATTGGAGTACTTAGAGGTACAAAGTCATGATATCTGTAAGTTTCTTTTCGAAGGTTTTTTGGGAAAATGTTTGTATATATAAAATGTCTGTATATGTGTGTGGTCAATCACCTACTTCAAAAGTTCAAAAATAGAGGGAACCAGCAGTTAGCATAATGGCTATGTCACTGGACTTCCACGTAGTCAACCGTGGTTCGTGTCCCGGACCCGGTGGCTTAAAACTCACGCCGGGCGCGTGTGCGTGTGTGCCCATCATCCCGAGAGGAGAATGGAGGAGAAGGAATTGCGGCGTGACCATCCCCTCTGGGGGGTGATTTCTCGCTTTCTGTCTCTATGTCTCTCTTTGTCTGTCTGGCGAGCACACGCACCCTATAGCGAAAAAACCTCTCCAAAAAAAAAAAAAGTTCAAAAATAGATAGAATTACGAATATATGGGTATTCGATAGGTAGAATTATGGATATATGGGTGTTCACTGTAATATTCTTGCAAATTTGCTGCATGTTTGAAAACATTTTAAATTAAAACAAAAATGTAATCAAAACAAGAAACAAGTAGCTCCTTACCTGTTGCATTCTGTGCCCCTGCCAGCCTGGCTCTTATTAAGCCATGTCTCTCCTTGAGACGAAGAATTCGAACTTTTGGAAACTGCAACATGTATTTATCCAAATTATCTTTGAGGTAGTCTGTGTCAGAATAAAGATAAACAAACAAAACACCCACTGTAATGAACTAAGTCTGGATAAATACCAGAAGAGCGGGTTAAATTCCAAAAATGACAGGACTTCAAAAGTTCATAAGAAAAGAGACTAAAGTATAAATTTATTTTGATTCAATGAAATTTTGAAATTTCTGCAAATTTTTCTTCAGAATATACATTTTCCATGAACTTCAGAAGGCCTGTCATGTGACATTGCTATAGTCCCTAACGTTTATTTCTTGGATCGTAATTTTATTTCCTCATGTCATTTGCTTGGAAGGATTTTGTCTGGATTCAATATTCTAAGCTGTCTGATTTCTCAAACCCCAAATCTTTCTTTTCAGTGATACAAAAGACAAAGTGGAGGGCTTACCTTTTCTGAGTATTTGCCAAAGCAAGGACAGATTTACTTTCAAATAAATGAAAGTCAGGTTTCTGCACAAAATCCCTCAGTCCTTGGAAAGCCCCCTTCAAAGCCCCCGGGAAGAGGCTAAATAATATGTAGAAATTGCAAAATTTGCCAAAGATAGCTGGTGTCCTGTAGTTGGTTAAAACCACTGTCATTTCCTTTTGTGACAGTCCCCTGCATTATACCTTTATTCTCTTTTTTAGAGAGCCACAGAGGGGACACAGTTAAATGGAGGAGACATTTCGGGGAGTTTTATGGACTATCTTTACGTGGTTTGCAGTCACTTCTATGTATAATTAAGCTATTGACAGCTACCCCAGGTAAAAATGACTTCCAGAAACACTTTTGCGGCTTGCTTTGCCACTAATTTTGTGTTCTTTTTCTTAGAGCACTCAAAAACTGTTCAAGTTTTCGTCCCACAAAATTTGGATCTGCCCTTATAAAAGGACTGTAATGTGCTTAGTAACTGAATTCTACATTTGTTTATGCTTTCGAGGCCACGTACAGTCTCTGACTAGCTTTCCTCTGGCATCTCGCAGTTTCTTGAGCTCACTGCGAATATGGCAGGAACTCTGTGGCTAAAGAACTCAGCTCACGTCACTGTGGTCACAGATTAAGGTGAAGCTGTTACATTAAAATTGCCATCTCTTTGCAATTTTCTACAATTTTCTAAAATGGGCTGCATTTTGGGGATTCATAATGTAGTGGTCATGGGATCATGGTACGTGGGTGGCCCCACATACCCAATATATTTGACTACCTGAAGAGTGAGTGTTCACTATAATACACAAAATGAAATTGAGGACTGTGGTGGATTCTGGTTTTGAACTCTGTTAGAACCACCTCTCATTGGTCCCATTGGCAGTTTGTCTTCTCAACACTTAACTGAACACATTGTATGTCTGTTCTTGAGGAAGAACCAAAGGACTTCCATATCTTTGCTTTCCATAGACTCAAATTCTAACTAGTTATCACCAGTATGAAAGGCATTCAATTAATACTGGGGACATTTGGGGCCAGCAGGTGGTTTTAAGGTGCTGGATTCCCACATGGCTGATGGTGGTTTGAGTCTTGGACCCAGAGGCTTGAAACTCATGCCAAATACATGTGCGTGCATGCCCAAAATCCCTAGAGAAGAATGGAGGAGAAGGGCTTGCAGCATGGCCAACCCCCCTGGTGGGGGATGGGTGGGTAATTTCTTATGTTCTCTCGCTGTCTCTCTGGTGAGTGCATGTGCTTTATAGCAAAAATATCTTAAAAAAATAGTGGGGATATTTGCTTACTAGCATCCAGAAAACAGGAATTGTGCAATTGTAGAGAAAATCTTTTGGACTCTGATTCTTCCAAGTGCTCATCTCTAAGAAATTGGGTTAGAAAATCACTTCTACATGGCAGGGGAGTCACAACTGAGGAGAAGCCCAAGGCAGCTGCTTTCACAGAGTTTTGCACAACTGTTAATATCCCATGGATGCTTCAAGTTAAGCCTCAAAGACTCGGCATGAAACAATGATTTAATATTTGTAAAATGTTTATGCCACTTTGAATTACCCTGTAATTTTGCCTTCAAACTTCTTTTGCCTCATACCAAACTTTGACGTTCAGGAGAAAGCCTGACTGGTTTTCTTACCTTTGGTGCTGAAGTCATCCACCAGCAGGATCTCCTTGATGAGGTGTGGAGGAGAGCGATTGAGTACACTGTGAACGGACCGCAGGAGCGTGGACCACACCTCATCCACAAAACACATGATGACGCTGGTAGTTGGGAGGTTATTGTGAACTAGCTGCTCTGCACACCTGGGCACGAAGGTAAGCAGAGGGCAAGAGATGTGCTAATGAGATCCACAGATGGTTTGAAAAGTCACAGGGTGTGATGATGCGCACACGCAAGTTCTCTCATCTAGCTATCTGTTCATCTCCCATCTTTTCATATACATCAGTGATCTAATTTTATCATGCGCCTTTCTTGGGGATGGGCAAAATAAAAAAGCAAAAGAATAAAATCTAGTAAACATAACCGCTGGGGAAAAAAAAAAAAAAAACTAGCAACGAAGATATGAGAACCTGTGAAGGCATCATACTGCAGTGGAAAGGACATGGGCTCTACAGGTCGCTAGATGCCAGCAGTTAGCATAATGGCTATGTTGCTGAACTCCCATGTGGCCGACTGTGGTTTGAGTCCCAGATCTGGTGGCTTACACTTACGCCGGGTGCGTGTGCTTGTGTGCCCAAGATCTCGAGAGGAGAATGTAGGAGAAGGGATTGTGGCGTGGCCATCCCCCCTGGGGGTTGATTTCTCTCTCTCTCTCTCTCTTTCTCTGTCTTTCTGGTGAGCGCACGCACCCTATAGCAAAAACCTCTCCATTTATATATATATATATGTATATATATATATAATTTCTTACATCTCTTTTTCCTTGGAGACAGGGGCCCACTATCTTCCCTAGGCTGACCTCCAACTTGCAGTCACAGTCCTCCTGCCTCAGTCTCCTAGGTAGCTGGGCTTACCGTTCTCAGGTCTTTAACCATTAGGACCTTCCCTAATCTCTCTGTGCCTCAGTTCCTTCATCTGCAAAATGAGGTAATGATTTTTATTCAACGGAGTTGAAAGCCTAGTGATAATGCACACAAAGTCTGGCATATTTCTTAATGCAGAATTTACTAAATGGTAGCTATTGTTACCATTATTATATTATATAGCAGAATAAAACACTCTTTTTTAATGTTACTAAGTCATTTACAAGTGCCCTTCCAACTGGCCATCTGCCAAATGACAAAGGATATATTCTCCCACTCTGTATGTGAATGTGTTTATGACACAATATACTTATACCAAACAATTAAGCTCCTCAGAGTCCCCAACTATCTGGAGGTTCCTTGCTAGACTCTGCTACGGAGTAGCTTTAGTCAAAATAAATTTCTGGCATAGAAATTAGAACAAAGTTATAGTGGGAATTAGTATTCAGGTGAATTGCCCCTGGTCTTGGGGTTTTTCCATGTCCTGCAGTTCACGCTGGCATTTTTCCATCTCCCTCCTGAGTTACTCTTCTCAGGGTGGTGACTAGTGGAATCGTACAGAGTATTTGCCATCCTTCTAACACAACTGCTGATAATAATGCAATAATTAATGATGATGATCTTCATCATTTTAATTTAAAACTTAAACCACCAGCATCTTTTCCTCTTTTTATAGGTGAACAATAGAAACCACAAAGAAGCTAGTTTACGATTATACTGTGAGTAAATGGCAGAGGTGGGACTCGAACGTTCATCCAGTTTGGCTCCAGAAGCAACCATTCAGGAAGCTTTAAATCCACAAGAATAAACACACTTGGAAGTAGACGTGGCATTTTGTGAGAGCTGGTGTTTCTGCCAAATAACATGGCTACACTTTGTTTATTCCACAAATAAATAGATAAGAGTGAAAACTGTAGTAAAACGAAGCACATCTATATGGAACTTTACATATAGTTGGCCAAGTATTCTATTGTGCATAATTTAATTCAATCTTCACAACAACTATTTGAGATTATCATTACCATACACTGCTTCCAACTGAACAAACTGAATCTTAAGATGTTAAATGACAGCCAATTTCATTCACCTAGAACAGATTCATATGAGAAAGTGAACAAATACCGTGTCACTCCACTATACAATACAGGTTTTACTAGGAGCATGGGTTTTGGAATCACATAGATCTGTGATGAAACATCAGTTTCCCTAATTACTAGCTTGGAGAAGTTGTATAACTTCTTTGAATCTCAGTTTGCCAACTAAAAAGCAAACATTAAAAATCTACTTGTTTTAGGACTAGCCTGTCGCCTGGTGGTTAAGAGTACAGGATCCTGTGTAGTTCCTTGTGTGTCGGGAGTCCTGGACCCAGCAACCTGAGAAACACACTGGCCGTGTGTGTGTGTGTGTCCAAAACCCTAAAAGAAGAAATGAAAGAGGGGGACTGCAAGGTGGCCCTGCCCTACTAGGAGTACTTTCCGTGTCCTTCTCTAGTGAGCACATGTGCCCTCTGGCAAAACTAGAAAGAAAAAGAAAAAAAAGGAAAGAAGAAAGAAAGGAAGAAAGAAAGAAGGAAGGAAGGAAAAAAGAGAAAGAAAGAGGACACAAACACATTGGGTTCACGTGTGTGAGTGCCTAAAATCTCAAAAGAAAGAAGTGATGGAGAAGTGACACCAGCGTGACCTTTCCCCATGGGGCTGGGGGGTGCTCTGGCTTCCTCTCTCTCTGTATTTCTGGTAAGTGCACATGCCCTCTGGAAAATTAAAAATAAAAACTATTTGTTTCAAAATTAAATATAAACATTATAGTAAACTCAGTGTATATCTGACACATGACAGGTACTTAAGAAATGAAAGACAAACCATGTTGTACACTGTAAAGATGCACAGTGATTAAATGTGAATAAAAATTAATTTAAAAAAGAAAATAATTGAAGGCAAATCAAGCTGTATTTTGTAATGTCAATGCTTCCCTAAAATGACTGCTATTATCATAATGATAAAGTCCAAGAAAAACATACATATCTAAGCCTCAGCCTCAGAAAATCAATTCAGAAAGTTTGTGTAGTGCCTGAGAATCTGTGTCTTAAAAACAAATAACCCACGCAGTTCATCTGCATTTCACTCTTAAATATGGGCATCATTACCTACCTTGCTGAGGAAATTTGGATATCATTCTAGATTTCACTGTCTTCCTCACCTTAAATAAAACCAATCTATGTAAACTTTTGCCTATTTTATTACCAACATATATCTCAACTCCAACCCCTTTTCACCTCCACAGCTGCCACCCCTAATTCTTAAACTTGTACCACCTTTCTTTAGGATTATTGTTGAAGTACTTTTTGCCACATCCACACCACTCTCCTGCTTAAAACCCTCCTGTCAATTTTTATGAGATAAAGTAAAGAAGAAAATCGAAATTCCTTACAATAGCCTGAATGACCCATGCCTGTCTTTCCAACAGTCATTCTGCGATGCTCTCACATGTTCCACCTGGCCACCTTGGCCTTCCCTCAGTGCTTTGAAGGAAGTGAAACCTCCAGCTTTTGCTGTTTCTTTAACCTGGAGCACTTGCTATCTTCTTTGTGCCATCTTGATTGACTTCTTCTGAGAACTTTCTTGAAGTTGGTTATGCCAAAATTTTGTCAAATACAAGTATGGGATTTGAACCACCAGTGCCTGGCAGTCTAGATGTAGGAGGAGATAAAGCAAATTGTGGATTGATTCACGTCTAGGACTCATCAGAGAAAACAAGGTAGAAAGAAAGTGGGAAAGGATTTGAGGCTTCTGAAATAAAGTGCTTAAATGTTCCATCATGTGCTCTGAGTTAGGAAGGAGGACATAAAGCTAAGAGAAGTTTAACAGCTGAGTGAGAGGGAGGGTACGGAAGACAGTGGGGGCCTCCCGTGACTTCCTAAGAGCTCCTCATCTCCAATTTTATTGTGTAAATTAATTTGTGGTATAAGTCAGTATGTAATGCACATTTCACACTTAAATACTCATTTCACTCTCAAATACTTAAATGTGAGTCAACTTTCCCAACAACCTAATACAACATTTAGCATAGGAAAAGAACACATTAGTTCGAAAGAACAGTCCTGCTGCACAAATTTTGCATGAACCAGTAAGACCCACTGTGAAGTATAGAACTCCTTAATGGTTAAAACTTGGCTGCCTTTAGGAACCCCCAGGGACAAATGGAAATATATTGGAAAGAGTTAACCAAGTCATTTCATGCTATATATGAATTTATACTGGATATCAGAATACATTTTATCTATTTTAGAAACAAACTCTAGGAAGCATAATACTAGCCAGTCTGAAATTGGAGGTAGAAAAAGTTCTCAGGGATTTGAAGGGTTTAAGGAAGATATCTCCAAACATCAATGATCTGATCCTCCATTCTGCCAAGGTATCACTGTGTCTTAATTTCACCATCAGAAATGCAGACAAGTACATCATAAAGGATTGCAGTAGATGCTAGTATCCTAGCAAATGAGTACTAGCCCTGCCAGTTACTGACAAACACATCGTCTATGTGTTTAAGAAATCAAACTGAGTGCTCAGCAGGTGGTGTGATGTTTAAGGCACTGAACTTCCACATGACCGACACTCCAGTTCAAGTCCTGGACCCTGTGGCTTGAAAATCACGCTGGGTGCATGTGTGTGCGTGCCCCAAATCCCAAGAGGTGAATGAGAAGAAGGGATTGCATGTCGGCCATCACTCTGGGGCCAAGTTCTCACTTTCCTTCTCACTGGCTCTCTCTGTCTTCCTCAGGTAAGCATATGAACCCTATAGCCAAAAAAAAATCTTCCTCAGGGAAAAAAAAAAACCCTATAGCCAAAAAAAAAAAAAAAAAAAAAAAGAAAAAGAAAAAAATCTAAATAAAAAGAAAAGGAATCACATTGAATATACCCTTGAGATTTCAGAGGTTTCAAATACAAAGTTTCAAATTATGTCTTGGTTTGGGTGATCGTGGTATCTGGTCTCTCTAACACTTTTTGTAGTTTAATCTCTTATATCACTAAACAGATTAAACATGTTTCCAGGTGGCTAAAAACATCCAGCATGCTTGTTTTGTTCAGAGGTAAAATGAGTGACGCCAGGCATGTGTGTGTGTGTCCAAGATACTGAGAGGAAAATGGAGGAGAAGGGGTTGCGGCATGGCCAAACTCCCTGGGGGGAAAGGGGTGATTTCTTGCTTTCTGTTTGTCTCTGCCTCTCTGGTGAGTGGCCATGGCCTATTGCCAAAAATCTCTCTCTCAAAAAAAAGAAAAAGT